TATTGCAAGAATTAAACATTTTTGAAAACATTAAAATTATAATTTACTTGCGAATAAGTTTAAAAACATTGAAGCTATGATGATTTGCAGCTCAATTATTTGATAGTTATTTTATATATTTTTATTGTTCCTATGGGAGCTATATGATATAGTCGTCCGACTTTGATGAAATTTTTACCATAATTCTGAAATATTCAACCATTGCTTTATGGCGAAGAACAAAACAAAAAATTAAAAAACAGCAATGTTATAATTTTTTCAATTATTTTTCCGATTGTTCCTATGGGAGCTATATGCTATAGTCGTCCGATTTTGATGAAATTTAAACCATAATTCTGAAATATTTAACCATTGCTATATGTCGAAGAACTAAACAAAAAATTAAAAAACAGCAAAGCTATAATTTTTTTTCATTTATTTTTCCGATTGTTCCTATGGGAGCTATATGCTATAGTCGTCCGATCCGGCTCGTTCCGACTTATATACTACCTGCAATAGAAAGACAACTTTTGGGAAAGTTTCATGCAGATAGCTTTAAAACTGAGAGACTAGTTTGCATATAAACGGACGGACAGACGGACAGACGGACATGGCTAGATCGACTCGCCTAGTGATGCTGATCAAGAATATATATACTTTATAGGGTCGGAGATGTCTCCTTCACTGCGTTGCAAACTTCTGACTGAAATTATAATACCCTCTGCAAGGGTATAAAAACAACGGGGCAAAGTGGGCCAAAAGGGAGGACTAGGTGGTTGTGGAGGTGGAGGTGGCAGTATTTTGCACTAAAAGCGAAACTACTTAGCATTTGCCATCGAAGTCGGACTCGAAATGTGGAGTTAGCCAGGCGGAAACGGAAACAGCAAAAGAAGGAAAGTCAGGAGCGGAAGGGAAAGGAAAGAAAGGAAAAGGGAAAGCGAAAGCCTAGACTGAGAGGAATGAGGTCAAGAGACAAAATAGGCTTGCCAACATGTGTTTCCGACTTTCTCTGGGTCGTATGTGTGCGTTGGCCACCCTCTGCGTGAATTTAACGGTCAAATCCCTTGACTTTCGACTGCCCAGAAAATTATTTCTCGAGGTTCTTTAACCTTTGCCTCGCTTCCTGCAGCTTTTTGCACCCACTACATGACGGGGATCAGGGGAATCTTAGGTTTGTGCCAAGAACGCAGCCAAAGGGTCAAAACGTTATGGTTAGTATAACTAATATTTCTATAATAAAGATCTACAGCCTTAAAAATATATATAAAACAAAATAGGAAGCAAACTTCGGCAAGCCGAAGTTCATTTACCCTTGCAGATATTGCAAAAAATTTTAATAACATTAAAATTATTATTTACTTGCGGATATGTCTAAAAACATTGAAGCTATGATGATTTGCACCTCAATTATTCGATCGTTCCAATGGAAGCTTTATGAAATCGTTTTCCGATTTGAATAAAATATAAAGCTTAATTCTAAACTATCAAGTTATAAATGAAGCAAACAAAAATTGAAAAAAGGAGAAGTCACATTAAAAATAATTTTTTTTTGTTAATTTGATTGATTCTATGGGAGCAATATGATATAGTCGTCCGATTTGTATGAAATTAAAAACCGCAATTCTGAAATATTTAACCATTACTATATCTCAAAGAACTAAAAAAATATGTAAGAAAGGAAAAGTGATATTTGTTTTTCATTTATTTGTCTGAGAGAACTGAGAGACTAGGTTGCGTAGAAACGGACGGACATGGCTGTCCTTTCTCTGTAATCTTCTAGTGATGCTGATCAAAAATATATATACTTTATTATTTATTTATTCAATTTGATTAATGATTAAGTGGTAATCAAAGAGATATTTGTGATATTGAAAAAATTCCTAATTGATATATCTTGTAATAATAATAATGATATTTTTAAAAGCTAGTTTGATATTTATCGTAAAATTTTTAAGTTTTGCTTCTCATTTCACATCAATATTAAGATTTATGATTATATTAAAATTATTATATTTATTTTTGATACCCAAAATAAATGTAATGGATACGTCTTGGTCGCAATAGATAGTCATGCTTTTTCGTTACTTTTTACGGATTTGTTGGCTACGTTTACGCTTAATTAACTCGTTTGATGCCGTCCAAATCCATATATGGAGATGGCCTGGAGATCATTTGGTTGACCGCTTTTAGCCTCAGCCACTGCCTTTGCGTTTGAGTTTGCATTTGGATTTGGATTTGATTAACCGATAGAATTTGTTTGATTTATGCTCGGATGGTGGGTGAGCAGGGAAATAGGGTATTAATTATGGGGAGTGCTTCATTCATTCCACGAAAACAAGCTCCGGGACATGTTTAATGAACAGTTTACTGTGAAATTGTCAAGAAAATGCGTGTTTAAGCCAGATTAAATGCAGCTGCCCACTGATTTATGGCCATGTTGCTCCCCACTTCTCCTCGCACACTCTCCAATACTCGCATTCGTTGCGCTGGCATTGTTTACTCCAATTATTTATGGGTCAACGAATCAGCTTGAACAAGTCAAGAAAGCAGTGAAAACAAAGGCCACAAATAGGGCCGATGGCGATATCAAATTTCCCAAACGAACTCAGGCTACAGACTTCAAAAAATCCAGCAACATGTTGGTAAAGTTTCTGGCCCTAAAACTTCTCGGCCAACAAGTTGCCAGAATATGGCCGAAATTGGCGATCGAGTCGTGGCCAAGAGGAAGGGGAAAGGGGCGTGTCGCCCAGGTGGGCGTCAGTATCGAAAAAGTAATTAAAGGCAAGCGAGACAGCGACAACGACGACGACGATGCTAAATGCTGATGCCAGTCGCAGTTAAAAGCTGCCCCGCCCACTCCCCCAAAAAAGTCCTGTCAAGTGCAATACGTGCCACGTGCAGTTGCCAGCAGTAAAGTGGCAAATGGCTTTGGAGGCAGGCCAGGATTGCTTAATGCAGCGACCTGGAAATGCACTCTCCCTCCCCCCTTTTTTTGGGGAGGAAAAGCGCAAGAATCACAAGAATCACAATCGCAATTCTCTTACATTTAGATATTTCGATATCTTATAATAAGAATTGGAAACGAAAACAGTTTACTCTCTCAATCAGTTGAACAATGGTTATAGCTTTCTTCTTTAGATGTTATACTTCAAATATATATATAACACCCAAAAAATACATGGCTGAAACTCACCAAGCACTGCAATGGTAATTCAACCTCTGGAATAATTACTCTTACGTGGCATTTGGATTAGCATTCAGAGTTACCATTAAAAAAAAGTAATTTAACCACAGAGCAAACTGCTCTAACCCCATAGTTAACTAAACTTAAGCCATTTAAAAGTGTATGTAAACTTAACTTTCAGCTTATGTGCATAAAGACCAATTATTATTATTTTTATTTCTTTTTAAATTTTATTTTACAATCATCTGAAATATATAGCTATGAAACGAACTTCCTCACGATTTTAAAAAACTAAGAAGTCCCCTCACATTTGAAAGTTAAAGATAATGAACACTTCAATATACAAAACAGTAATAGTTGAATAGTTTATAAAAAATTTATTAATTTTACTTCAAAGCTAATACAAATAATTAAAAACTGCAAGTACAACAATTTTTATAAAATATTATATGTAATACTTCATTTAGTTAAGCTGTCAATTTAAAATGTTGAATAAATTCCTGTGACTAATGCACTTATTTATAAGACAAGTAAGCCTGTATTTGTGAAATAAATTAATAATTAAAATTTACCTTCTATTGAAATATTATATTTCATAAAAAATGGTTCTCAAAACATTGTTTTGATGTTAGCTAGTGGTTAAGGCTACAGAGGACCAGTATTTTTACCAGTGTCACCCAAAGTGATGTACTAAAAATAAATACATAAAAAGTTACAGTATGACATTTTTTTTTGCGAACTCATAAAGTCGATTTCGAATCGCCGGAATTCCCTATTCATGTCCATCCCAGTTATTATGTGGTGGCCAATTCTGCGATAGGGCACACGATGTCCCAAAACTTATCACACAGTTAATGCACTCGCAAGCTTTGGATGGGGACACCGCAAAAATAGCAACAATGGCTGCAACAAGGGGCAAAATACAAAACGCATCCGTTTTGTGCAACGTAATCGACAATTATCAGCGACATGAGCAAACCAATTGTTCAGTGCCCCGTGTCCGCAGTCTGAAATTCTCCGTTTCCAGTTCCACATTTCCCATTTCCCATTCCCGATCCCCTTCTGATATCCTGGCATCCTGACATCCTGTTTACGTGCAGGAAAGGAACGATAGGCTCGCGGCCAGGACTACATTTGTCCATTTACCCATTTACCGCCCACTCCCCCACCAACCAGTTCATTTTTGTGTGTAATTGTTTGCCAGCTACACTGATTACGGTGTCCAAAAACACTGGCTAGCAAATCTTTATTTTTGAATTTTATTTTCATTTGTTTGTTTTAATTCATTTTGTTTGGTTTTTTTTTAGTTATGGTAAAAGATACTAAATTGGTTAATTATTTAGGCAAAAGTATACAAAATTAAAAAAAAAAATCACATAATTTTAAAACCATTAAGTTTATCTCGAATTTGCAGTTCAATTACGATATGTACGCTCTGGCAATAAACTTTGGTTGTAGAAACTTGTAGAAAGAAACATTTGTATATTTGCAATTGCGGTGGAATTTAAATGTAATTTAGTGGTATTAAGCTAATTGGAAAATCAAAAAAAATTTAAATATTATAATGCCTAAATACCTAAAATTGCTTATTCTTAGGAATATTGTTTATTCAGCTAAAATCTGAAAACATTTAATTAACCATAAAAGGCAAAAGCGGCAGAAAAACTTCAGGGCACTAAATAAGCACTTGTGTTATTTTAACTTGTTAACTAGTGTAATAGTCGGTTCCCATGTCACGCTCTTTGAACTGAGACCAAACCATCTCCACCCATGCAATCATTCAGCCACCCGTTTCGGACATTGTTACATTTATTAAATTCTTCTTTACACTCCTTACAGCTATGCAAAAAAAAAGGAAATTACAAAAATAACAGATCGGAGTAAGATAAGATAATTACAACGAAAACGAAAATACATTTAGAGACTTACGGCTAAATAAAAAAAAAATAATATTTGTAATTGTACACATTTATTAGGTGAATAGAAATAGGATTGAAGGTTCGAGAGTAAAACGGAAAATCTATTCGATTGAAACATACTTGGCGGATTCTGATTAAATCTCGAGTCATGCCATACTTAAATGAGTACCGAAGTTCAACTTGATGTTATTTTAAATAATTTAGGAAAATTAAAAAGTTTAGCTTTTACTTAGAAAATATTATTGCGAAAAAGAATCTCTTTTAACCGTATTAATATCTGTTTGATTTTCTCCTTTTAATACTAAAAACATTTATCGAATTTTTGGGTTTAAATATGTCGACTTTATTCAGTCAAAATCACTGCGTTTTTCTAAGAAAGAAATATTGCCTTTTGCAAATTCCGCCAATTCTGTATCGGAAAATTATTTTCGGAGGTCGCCATTGAACTAATGTCCGTACTTTGGAAGTTCAATGTTATATCAAGCCCACGAAAAAGAGTTCAAAATCGAATCCAGCTCGCATCGTTTCACCGATTATCCTACTCTTGACCCCCCGATTTTCTCAGCGGAATTTGAGTATGTACATGAGGATGGGGATCGCGCCCGTTCTCATTTCGCTTAACAATCCTTGACCTTGACCTCCTCCTCCTCGCGAACGAAGGCATGGTTCTCGATGCCCCGTTCGCCGGGTCGCAAGGTCACAGAGGTCACAGAGGTCACGGTGGCTGGCGGTGGCTCTGCGTGCTCCAAGGACTCGTGTATCACATTGGCCACGATGCCGTTCATCTGTCCCTTGGCCTCGCTGGCCAGGACCAGTGCCTCGATGGCGTTGATGTTGCCATTGGGATCCTTTACAGAGGCGCGCTCCGCGTCCGAGGAGGCCAGTTTCCGCCGCTGGCGCACCTGGAAACGGTACATCCACCTGGCCGAAAAAATAAACGATTTAATAGATATCACTTTATTTCACTTAAGCGTATACTCTGGTCTAGAAATTTGAAAAATCAATTTTTTTTTTTGCATATTTTGAAAGTTTAGACCTATAACCAAAATTTTGATTATAAGTATTTTTAAAAATTTCGAAAATGTCGAGCAAATTGGGCGTAAAAATTTTGTTTTTTTTTCAAATCAAAGTCATTTTGTTAATATTTTTTTTAATGGTCACTGGTAAATGGTCGACAGCTACATTATTATTAATGAAGAACTTATTTTGATTTTTTGTTGTTTTAAATCGCTACAAGGGTTGAAATTATGTCAAATAGGAGGCACCCCACTCCACTGGCCTGTATCTCGGCGAATTTTGGTTTTATTTATCTTGTAATTTTTTTTATATTCTCAAAATGTCCATAAAAATATATACAAAAAGGGATAGTCAAAGTGTTTTTCATTTTGTTTTTTTTTATCTAACTTGAAAAAACGCCTAATATTCAGGCTTCTAGACCAGAATACCCCCTAAATCCACTTAATGCACTTACAGGAATATGAACACGGAGAACAGTGTGAGACCGCCGCCGAGTAGGAAGAAGGCTCCTGGGAGCACTCGCAGCGTCGAGGCATACAAGGTGGTGTACATGGGGGCAAACACCATGGGCATCAGGGCCTCGGCCACACCGAATAGCGAATTGACCTTGCCCAGTTCATCCTTGGACACCAATTTCGTGGCTATCGAACGCATCGCAATAAAGGCCGTGCCATTGAAGATCTCCACCAGGCCGCCCAGATACATATGCCACGGCAGTGTGGCAAATGCATAGACGAACGACGACAGGATCTTCGAGGTGCTGGACAAAACACCCACGAGGGCATCATCGATATTCAGCTTGTGCGAGAGCACACCCACGCAGAAGATCACGCCAATCAAGCCCGTGAACATGGCGTACGTGGAGAAGAAACTGAACTCCACCTCCGACCAATTGAACCGGAATCGGGTGAACAAATACGTGACCGCCATCTCGCCGTGCAGCGGCCCAATGATCACCATCACCACGATCATCAGCAGGATGACCCGCTTGCGGCGCTGGTTCTCACCCTTCTTGAAGGCCACCCGGAACGTCTGCACCACGTGCTCCTTGTCGAAGAAGTCCGCCAGCAGGCTCTTCTGCTCACCGCTCTTCTCCGGCCGGGCCACCGGCTCCTCCAGGAAGAAGAACCCGTAGACGAAGGCGATCACGTAGAAGGCCGCCGAGATCGAGAACACGCCGTAGAATCCGATTTGCCTGCGAACGATATTAATCCGGAGGTTAGTAGATGTTGACAAAGCTGAATTTGGCTAAGAGTATTTTTACGCCCTGATTTTGCATCTGCATATTTCAATATAGTTTTGGCAAGGGACCGAATATAATCGGAGTTTTTAAACAAAAGCCAAGGTAAGACAAAAATCTTAATTGAAAAATATTTTAACATGTAAATTATTACTCTCAATATTGTAATCTTACTTTAAAGAGATAATTTTAAATCTATTTTTATTTGTACATAAAGTATCTTTATTTTAAAACTATAATAATGTCGCTTAAATATTTTATTGAAACAATTTTTATATGAAAATATCTCTCTCTGTTTTAACTAGAATAAAGTAGTTTTAACATTACTAACATTTTCAAGTTTGTATTCGTTTTAAACTTTTCTTCTATTCGAATATTATAATTATTTTATTTCAATTAAATAAAAATTTATATTATATATATATTTTCTCTCTTTTGGTACTAAAATAATGTTATTCTCTTTTAAAAATGAACAAATGAATTAAATGTCTATACTTTTCTTTTAAAATATCTAATTTTTTTTAATCAAATAAAATAATAATTAAATCAAGTATCTAAGCTTGTAATGAGTTCAAAATATAACTATGAATAAATATTTAGCTATTAATATACATATTAAATACCGATTCAAATAAAAACAAGAAAGAAAGCAAACTTCGGCAAGCCGAAGTTCATATACCCTTGCAGCTATTGCAAGAATTAAACATTTTTGAAAACATTAAAATTATGATTCGTATATGTTTAAAAACATTGAAGCTATGATGATTTGCAGCCCAATTATTTGATAGTTATTTTATATATTTTTATTATTTCTAAGGGAGCTATATGATATAGACGTCAGATTTTGATAAAATTTAAACCATAATTCTGAAATATTTAACCATTGCTATATGTCGAAGAACTAAACAAAAAATTAAAAAACAGAAAAGTTATAATTTTTTTTCATTTATTTTTCCGATTGTTCCTATGGGAGCTATATGATATAGTCGTCCGACTTTGATGAAATTTAAAACGTAAATCGGAAATATGTAACCATTACTAAATGTCGAAGATCTAAACAAAAAATTAAAAAACAGCAAAGTTATAATTTTTTTTCATTTATTTTTTCGATTGTTCCTATGGGAGCTATATGCTATAGTCGTCCGATCCGGCTCGTTCCGACTTATATACTACCTGCAATAGAAAGACAACTTTTGGGAAAGTTTCATGCAGATAGCTTTAAAACTGAGAGACTAGTTTGCATATAAACGGACGGACAGACGGACAGACGGACATGGCTAGATCGACTCGCCTAGTGATGCTGATCAAGAATATATATACTTTATAGGGTCGGAGATGTCTCCTTCACTGCGTTGCAAACTTCTGACTGAAATTATAATACCCTCTGCAAGGGTATAAAAAGGAAAAGTAAAAACAAATGTCTGACTATTGAACTCAAAATGTTATATATAATATTTAAAATTAATATTATGTCATAATATTAAAATCAATGCATACTAAATTGCATGAATTAATATTAAATTATTTTATTTAATGTGTACAATAATAAATTTACAACAGTTCCTTATTGATGTAAATGCTTTTTATTTAACGTAAATATGGTTTAAGTTTAATTTTCAAGAAAATGTAATGTTTTCACATTTGAAATAACTAAAAACCACAATAGATGAAAATCATAGCGGAAAGCATTTAAATTGAGTTTCAAAGTTTTGTATTAACTACTGATTTTTTTAGCAGTGTAGGAAACATTGCCGAATCGAGATCGAAAGTTAAACAGGACTCACTTGAGCAGGACTCCGCTGAAGGCCATTCCGATGGGCACGCCCACCGAAAAGCAGACGTTGAGGATGCCGATCCGCAGCGTGCGGTCCTCCTCGGTAGTGATGTCCGCGATGTAGCTGAAGACGCCCATCAGCATGGTGAACCAGCCGCCGCTGAGCGAGGGGAAGATGGCCTCCGTGAGGGCGGCCGCCTCCATTGGCGCCTGCTCGAAGTAGACGCACAGCATGAGGCCCACCACGCCCAGGAACTCGCCCACCACCGGGATGAGGATGCACGGCTTCCGCCGGCGGTGGCGGTCGCTCCACGAGCCCCAGAACAGGATCAGCAGGCAGGGGAACAGGGACTGAATCACCGTCTTCCAGGCGGCCATCCGCGCCACCATCTGCTGCACCGTCTCCTCCTCCCTGAAAGAAAGAAAGCAATTTTAAAACAACGAGCTAAACAATTCCTAATTAATTATTAAATTTACATGCGAAAATTTCCAAGTCTCTTATATGTTTTGTGATCATTTATACCAGCCCATTAAAAAATAGTAAAAATTTTAGACCGCGAATGTGAAAGGGGTTCCCCTTAATCTGCCTTCTATTATATACCAATAAATACATTTTTCTAATATCTTCATTTGTTTTAAAGGCACATTAATAAACTTTCAGACAAGGTAAACATTAAACAGGTTTTGGTTTTTGTGGTTTCTGCAACCTGTATTTTGTTATACATAGACGTTGTTTGCTTTCCAAACATGAGGTCAAGGTTGGTTTAGATTAAAAATTAATATTTTAATTCAATTTTTCCTATGGATGAATCCATTTTTTTTTTTTTTGGTATATAGCATCTTAAACTTTCCAAACGTTTTTAAAATATTTAGTTATATTAAAGTTTTGTTAAATTTTCTTTAAAATATAATGTTAAGATAAGCATTCAAGAATGTAATTTTCTATGTTACATAACTAATAATTAATTTTTGAATTTATGATTATTTTGATAGCTTAAACAGTGCCTAAATGCATACTATAAAAAAAGTGTTTTTATTTGCACAGCGGAATATAATATCACAGCATAACTTCAGGCATGTTATTTAAGGATTTTGAATTGCATAATATGTTTGCGGCACAACCGATGAAAATATTAGCATCAGGAAGTAAGAAATAAATAAATTCAAAATAAATTTTAAGGGACTCACAGTGTGTAGTTGGCTGTCTGGCGGCGGGTTAGGGCATCGCACACCTCATCCCCGTAGGCCATGTTCACCCGACAGGCCTTCTCCAGGTTGAGGTTCTGGGTGGCCAGGTTCGAGAGCACGCTGGGCATGATGTAGGCGGCCAGGATCGGTTCCACGGTGACGTTGTTGGCCACCAGGCGGATCTTCTCGCGCCAGGATCGTTTCGCAGGCGGGGTCATTGTGGCGCTCTCCTTCTCCTTGGCCGTCGTTTTGTCCACAACAGTGGACTGTGTGGTCGTCGTGGCCGCTTGCGGAGGAGGTGGCGCATGATTCACCGTGTATTTGGCGTATTTGGCATCGTCCAGGCTGCCGTCCTTGGGTGACATACTGAAATCTGGGTATCAAGAAAATCAATTGTTACAACTTATCGCAAAACAAACAATCTGTGAGGGCACCCAAACTTTTTTTAAAAATAAAAAAAATTACTATTTAGGAACATTATGCGATAGCAATACAGTAAAGTATACAATCATACAATTTGTATAAAATAAAATGTCTTATAAAAAGAACCGCATTGGAAAGCAGATAACCTTGCAGAGCAATGATAATATTGTAATTAAGAACAAGTGTTCCCATGGAAGCTATTGAACTTGAAGTGAATAGAACTTGCAGTTGCTTAAGCCAAAAAAAAACAATTGGGAAAGTTTTATGTTAATTGCTTTTAAATTGAACGAATAAATTTTAAAACCAGACAGACTGGCAACTAGATACCTATATCTACCTGATCCCAAATGCACCTTATTTTAATACCTGTTATTCTTACAATAAAAAGGGCATATTGTGTTTATGTAGAGTTGTTTAATTTGAGTTTTCGGTTTTATAAAGAATATATATAATAATAATTTATAATTTCATAAATTTTAAACTAAAAATGTTCTAATAATTTTGTCACTACTCTTCTTCTATACCTTTTGAATATCTGAATAACTTAAAGAATGTTTTTAATTAAACGAATAGCGAAGACAACGAACCAATTATATGCTTAGTTTTTTTTAAGCGCTTTTCGAGGGTAATTTAGTCTCGCTTCCCCAAAGTTAATTTGCTTTTGTTATCTAAATTGAATTGTCATAAACACGGAATTGATAAATTTAATTAAAAGCCCATTACCAAGATTCTTTGCACTGGTAATCTTTTATCTGGTTTTATTATCACAGTGACTCCCTTTGTGTTACTTGCGCTCTTTCATTATACATTAACGAAATTATTGTCATATTAAAATTTAATTACTTGGATTATTCTAGGGAATTTTGCCTTGGACTCTTTTGTTAACTGAATGAGTGAATTGTTTTTAAGAAACTTGTTGTGGTAAATTACAAACTACTTTTTGGGCTCCAAACTAGATGATTAACTATATATATTAGCAGAAAAATAAATAAGACAAATTGGATAGCCGATTATTTTGAATTCGATTTAGCAAAATTAAAAATTTGTTATAAAGTGCCTGCATTTCGAATCTGTTTTCATTTTGTCTGTTTTTGGACTGACGGCAATTAGAAAAGTCGTACAAAGTGGGGCAATTTCACCGGCATTGGAGTGTTACCATTATCATTATCGCGGGGGGTTCTGTTATCAAAAAAGTAGAACAGGTGGTTTTTTTGTTTTTGAAAAACCCAACTTGTCTCGCTGGCCCACAGCATCCGCTTGTAGGCCGTTAATGAAGTTTATTGTTCAAAACAAAAAATCACCAACAAGCCGGTATTCTGCGTGTCATGCCAATTTTATAGCAAAATGTAATTAGTGAAACTCCGATCTCTAGAAACGCAATCTCCGGGTCTGCAGCTTTATCTCTACATCATCCCCCACCCTTTTATTTTCTTTTTTGGCTTGGGATTGGGAAATCCCAGATAGCGACGACGTTTTCATTTTGCAATTCCCTTTATTTTTGTTGGTATTTTGTTGCGTTGTAGCTTTTAATTGTTTTGCTTAGTGCATTTGTTTTTGTTCGCTAAAAGTGTTTACACAATTGTTGCCACATTTTGGCTTAAAGCATATGCCTGTCTATATGTCGTATCCGATTCCCCGCCAGTACGCCCTCAAAGTCCAACTCATACCCATATACCCATCCACTGCATTTCACGTGCCAAGCGCATTCACCTTATCGCGGTGCATTTGCCCAAGGTGATTACTAAAAATAACGAAAACCATAATGATTTCAGCAAATATGTATCAGAATGCACTGCAGGTGCAAAATCAAAGACGGTGAACACTACGCTAGCTAGTCTAAACCTTTTTATAGAGTCTACCATATTCATGAAAATCATTGCCCAATGATATTACACTTTTAGTTATATTATAAGAGAAAATTCCATATAAAAGCAATCCAAATGAAAGTTGGTAACACCTTTAGCTAGTAAGTAATAGTTTGATTTAAGCTTTAATTTATTTTAACATAATCTTTTAAAGTACTCTACTACTGAAAAATTTTAATTATGTTTTAATAAGTGTGTAGCTATAGATAATATAAATTGTATATTTACAGGATCTATAAAATCAAAGAAAGTGAACATGTTTTTTTTATATGTTTATAACCATTTTGAACTTGTAACATATTCCATAAAAACAATCAGCAAAAATACACCTGATAATGAAATGAAAAAATATTAAAATAAAAAATAATATGCAGATTAAAACTTGTTATTAAACTGATTTTAAATTAATGATTATTTGTTTCCAAATATTATTATAGGAAAACAAACGATGTTTTGCCAATTTTAGCGTTATAGTTTGTTTTGTTTATAGTGGCAAAAAGGTCGCTCTTTCGGTAGTTTCCCCTTTAAAAGACGTTTCAATTTAATCGTCGCGAATCTCGACTAGGGTACGAAATTAAAACGACTGAAAATTAGGCAAAGCTAATTGACCTTGACAGGTGATCGCACATGAACACAGCCCAACACACCCAAACATCTTGGTCATAAAGTGCAGCACTGACCGACCGTTTTAATCTCCAACTTCCGCCTGGCGATGACGCAGTCGGATCAACTGGCTAAAAGCACATAGAAAGCTAAAGTGAACAAAGTCCAACACTTAGCTTCGGATATCTACTGTACAGTGAGGCCCAGAAATCAAGATCGAATTTTACAAAGAAATGCAACCTGAATATAATAGCTACTTAGTGAAAATTGTGTTCCCTCATCGCCAGTCTAACCTGTAGTTCATTGTCTTATGCATTGTTTGGATTAAAATGATCACATGAATGAGTATGAAATAGTTAATTCTAGTTATTCCCAGTGAAATGACCTAAATTTGCGTGCAAACATTTTGCTTAAAATAAATAATTTAAAACAGAAAACATTTTGAAACAAACAATATTTGGAAACAAAAAGGTTTTAACTGAAAAAATAAGTACCTAAACTCTTTGTTTAAATTTTAGGAGACATGTCAGCATTTAAAAAAAGAAAGGGTTTTTATTGAAAAATTTATCAATTTTTTATATTTTGTTTAAATATGCGAAATCTTTCAAGTGTGATACAGCCCTACATCTTAGCTTATTGCTCGAAAATTTTGAAGAATCACCATTAAAGAGCACTTGACATTGGGTTTTGGGGCAGATCTTGAGCTAGTTTGCAGTTTGGCCCGCTCTGCAGTTTCTACGGTGACCCAATGCCACCCACTCAGACGTGCGTTGAACCCAATTAACGGGTGTGGAGCAGGAAGAGGGGCAATCGAGGTCATTGGGGCCGTCAATCGGTCACGTCTGCAAGTGCTAGCCCTCGATTTGGCCAATGATAGCCGCCTGGGGAAGACGGTTTATACATGGAGCGACTGAGTGGCATACTAACTAGCCAAATCGATGGCTATGAACATGTGCAACTTCAGGAAGCATTTTTTCAGATGGTCTGTACTGCAACTAGGAGTGGTACACTGAGAAAAATAAATAACCATACTAAATCCCTAATGACTACATAAGATATTACATTTTATTTTAAACAAGATTTACTAGAAGTTTAGTTTATTGTTTTGTTTTTATATGAAAACATAAATTATGCAAGAAATCCATAAATATTTATGTAAACTAAACCTTTTTATAGACTCCACCATATTCAATAAAAAGTCAAAGTTATCATGTCTTTAAGCATTCTTTAAAAATAATGATGTATGCAAAAAACATTAAACAAATAATTATTTATTTATATATTATATTAAGATTTGACTTTGGACTAGTTTTATACATTTTTCGGATTCATATTTAAATTGGATTCATGTTTTTTGACTAGACAATTCAGTTTAAAAATCGATTTTTAATTGTGAGCAAAATGAAGTTGTTGGGTTTTGTTGTTATACCCTTGCAGAGGGTATTATAATTTCAGTCAGAAGTTTGCAACGCATTGAAGGAGACATCTCCGACCCTATAAAGTATATATATTCTTGATCAGCATCACTAGGCGAGTCGATCTAGCCATGTCCGTCTGTCCGTCTGTCCGTCTGTCCGTCTGTCCGTCTGTCCGTCCGTTTATATGCAAACTAGTCTCTCAGTTTTAAAGCTATCTGCATGAAACTTTCCCAAAAGTTGTCTTTCTATTGCAGGTAGTATATAAGTCGGAACGAGCCGGATCGGACGACTATAGCATATAGCTCCCATAGGAACAATCGGAAAAATAAAGGAAAAAAATTATAACTTTGCTGTTTTTTAATTTTTTGTTTAGTTCTTCGACATTTAGTAATGGTTAAATATTTCCGATTTACGGTTTAAATTTCATCAAAATCGGACGACTATAGCATATAGCTCCCATAGGAACAATCGGAAAAATAAATGAAAAAAATTATAACTTTTCTGTTTTTTAATGTTTTGTTTAGTTCTTCGACATTTAGTAATGGTTAAATATTTTCGATTTACGGTTTAAATTTCATCAAAGTCGGACGACTATATCATATAGCTCCCATAGGAACAATCGGAGAAATAAATGAAAAAAAATTATAACTTTTCTGTTTTTTAATTTTTTGTTTAGTTCTTCGACATATGGCAATGTTTAATTATTTCAGAATTATGGTTTAAATTTTATCAAAATCGGACGTCTATATCATATAGCTCCCATAGAACTAATAAAAATATATAAAATAACTATCTAATAATTGAGCTGCAAATCATCATAGCTTCACTATTTTTCAGTATATACTGAAGTAAATCATAATTTAAATGTTTTCAAAAGTATTTAATTCATGCAATAGCTGCAAGGGTATATGAACTTCGGCTTGCCGAAGTTTGCTTTCTTTCTTGTTTGAATATGTCTTATTTATAATATTATTCAGAATTTCAGATCGCACATTTTTTTATATTTTCACTTTAGAACATTGACAACTATGTTTCAAACGCTTAATTGCTTTTTAAAGAAAAAGCTGAAAAAATGTTATCTAGTAAAACCGCTACCTTTTGATGTTGCTTAAAAATTGTTCGCAATTCCCTTTATGCCAATTCTGGACGGAAGTCGTAATTATCAAACTCTGCCTTATAATTAGCATGGTCCCCGGAATTTATTGTTATATCAATTTTATATTCGAAATGTCATGCTGACATGGGTGATATTTTCCATCGGTACACAACAAATATGGATTATTTTTGGCGATGCGATGCGATGCAGGGTGAATAAAACAAATGACAGAGGAATTACAACAGTTATTACCAAATATTTACCGAGTGCCTATCATTTTTTTACACCCAGACATTGTGTTATTATTTATTTTTGTAATCATTGTTTAACTTTTTTGGGTTGTTTTCCAATGTTGCTTTTCTCATTTCCGGATGGTTTGACAAAACTTTTCACACAAGCGAATCGAACAAGCGATGGCGCTCCAAATTACCCGTTTACGTTATTAATTGCATGTCTATGACAGATACAATTAGATATATGAGTGTGGCATCACAGATACGCCGCCACACGGATACGGATACAGATACAGAGATACGGCTGCAAAGTCTGCCCGTGACACAAACAAAGTTCTGCTTTAGTCGGGGTACTAAATTGGAAATAATTAAATACAATTAGCCGGCGAAAAAAGCAAAACTTTTCTTCTCGGATTTATTTATGCACAATTCAATGGTAAAATTAGACGCTAAAAATATTTAGACACTCGAATCAGACCCAGCCCCCACGGATACACAATCTGGAATCACATACTTTTGCACGGAAAACAATTTCGAGCCTTAGAAGGCATGCTATTACATATGTCTTAATTATTTTAAATTATAAAAACTGCATTGTAGACTCCACTATAAATCTTATTTTAGGTAAACAACTATTTTTCTCTGTCGAATTAATCACGGAAGTTCCGGTAACTGGAAAAAAAAGCAGAAGCTCAGATGATGCCGCCGCAATGGAAAGAGACTAGCAAAACAAAACTTGACAAAAAATAAATAAAGAAAACTATAGCTGAGTGTGCCGACTTTGAGATACCCGCGTTTTCTGCCATAAAAAAATATTTTGGTAATTTTTTTGATAACAATAAATAAATTTCCCCGATAAAATTTGAGAAATTCTAAATTTTGGGTACACGTTTTCTCCATTGGTTTTACAGAATCCTATTAAAAACACAAATCCTATTAAGGATCAAAATCTGTTCTATCTTATAAACTTATGCATGAATGCAATATACTCTACGAGCGACAGGTACGAATCTCTATTCGTCGGCGATCAAAATAATGATAAACGAACCACTAATTTGGGCAATCAAACAATAGCGAAAAGTACGGATCTCATTTTGCAATACAGACAGAAACTGTCATAGAAATTGTGAAAACAACCAAATTTAAAATAAATTAAATACGATTTGCGTAAATTTATTCAGGCCATACTTATAATTAATTGACTTGACAAATGGCCTGGGATGGTACGAGATTGTCACCGAAATTCAGATTTAAGGAAGGGTTGTCAAAATGTTCAATAATATCAATAAATTTGATTTTCCTCCTCTTGAACAATACAAATAATTATCCTATTTAGAACAACAAAAATCGGTTTCATTTTGTCAAAACAAATTGTTAAAAAAGTAAGTAAAAAGAGTGTAGCAAAAGTGATTTAAATATATATGCGACTTAAAGTAAAACTTGATCGATGATTATTTGTAGCTGTCACTTTCAAAACAATGGATGGTAAGTCTAAGCGTTTGCGAACTTTAAATATTTGAAAATTTATAAACTATCATAATCAAATCAAACTATCATATCAATTTATAAACTATCATTTAATTTTCATATTAATTAGAGAAAAAAAATGTTTTTTGGATGCATTTTTGCTTTTTTTCTCACACAGCACAAATTTGGCAATGTTAGTTAGCAATTTTAAAAAATAATTCTAAATAGATTTTTGATATTTTTGACAACCCTAAGCGAAAGGGACGCGAACATCACTGAAAAAATAGAGGGCGAATGACGATGGTCAAACAAGCGAATTTGATTTAATTTACATGTCGTTAATAAAATTAGTAAAAAGCAAGACACACACGCACACACAGATGGGGGATAAATATACATGTATATAAAAGCTGTAAGCAATTGCTGGAGCAACGGTAACTACACTTGCGGAAATCCCCGCCTGTTAATCCAATTTTCCAAAATTTCCAATTTCTACGATTTTTTTTGCAATTTTCGATTTTTAAAACTCTGGCGATATTTTCGATTTTTGTATCATTTGGTTTGCCACCATTACCTGAAAGCGCTCCTTTCGACTTCGTTTGTTTGTTGTTTGATCGCAAGTTGTTTTCTGTTTTCCGATTGCTGGAAATCACCTACATTGACGCGGCTGCAGCTGCAGTTGGATCGCTTTTGGAAATGGGAATAGGAATTGAAATGGGAATCGGAATCGGAATGGGAATTGAATTAAAAGTACAACGACAACGACAACGACAACGAGAACGACAACGGCGGTGACAAAAACACTGTGCCTTCTGTGTTTACTCAGACGCTACGGCTGGCTACTGCTACTTTCGGCTTAACGAGCTGTGCTTTCAGTGTCTAAACCATCGGCGTTGAGCTGAACTCGGCGACTAAAATACTGAATTCGTACTGAATTTGATGAGTTCCGCTGGCCAGTTGCCGCCGGCGCACGGTAAAAAGCCGCTGCCGCCGTCGCTGCCGCCGCAGATTCCATCGACGATGGGTGTGTGTGGGTGAGTGGGCGGAATGGGTGGTCGGGCGGTACGATCAGCCCGAAGCGCTAAAAACTGAAACAGAAAGCGGAGATACCCATACAGGTGGGTACACCGGTGGCATCGCCAGTGCTCCTTCTTTTTTCAGCGAATGCGCCATCACAACTAAAGGTCCGAACTTCGTACCAAAAAAAAAAATTGTTTTCAAAAGTATATTTACAGGTATCTAAAACAAATGAAAAAACCCCCTTCTCAGACTAGTTTGGTAGTCTAAATAATAAAATTATTTAAATAAAAAATACAAGCAAAAAAAATATTTAATTATGGAATTAAGATTTTGAAGTGCTTCTGGCTTTGGAAATGGTTTAAGTTACATTAAAAAAATGTTAATATGAATATAAGCAATAATGATAGCATCAGACCGCAAATTGTTCTTTGAATATTTAAAATAAAATCAAAAGTTATATTTTATTCTCAGCGCAAAACATATTTTTTTTGACAGAAATCAAAATAAATTGCTTTAGTAGCTGAACAACTTTGGTAATTCAAACCATGTCTAAACACCTTTTGTATACGGACTGAGAAGGTCATTAAATAAACGTTTTAGAATGTTGGTCATCAAAAAATGCAACTAAAAAAAATGATGTTTTTACTATTTTACAATTTTAATGAATGCGTTTTATAGTATATTAATATCGTAATAAAATATTTTTCTGCATTACAAAGATCAAATATAATGTAGTTCGTTTCGTGTACAAATAATCTTGTTTATCCTTATAAATGTTCATAATTTGTGGTAATACGGGTATGACATTACATTGTTCGCCTCATTCATTGACGAATTCATTGAAGCTCAGAGACAGAGACAACTATATGGATACTGTTTGAGATTTTTTTTTGGTTATAAAATCACGGTCACACTGCCTTTTTAAATACAGACTTAATGGTTTTGTTTATTATTGTGTTTATCCCGCTAATTTTTACTTTTAAAGGTTTGCAGTTGTTACCTTTTAATGGTAAAAAATATATCGTATATTTCGTATCACTCGCACTTACGTAAAATCGTATAGTTAAAACAAAAAATTAGCAATGAATAATAATGTAGTGTCATCAGCCCATAATTTAATTGCAATTACTTTGCTGTCTACACCTCTCCTCAGTGGCAATTAAAGTATTTGTTGGTGGTTACATTCAATATTTATTTACTTGTCAGTTGCAAAAAAATTACATTGTAAATGTGCCACCTTGTTGATTAAAAAAATATTTTCTAAAATTTCAACAAAATCCAAAAAAAAACAAACCACCTGATACTTAACGTAAAGCAAAGTTTTACTCCAAAGTACACATATGTCACGACAGAAGTTCAATTAAAAAGTTGTTAGGGGAAATTCCAAGTGAAATGGGGGATAAGTGATCAATCACAAATCAATATAACTGATTGTTCATGACAATATAAAGGCAAGACACAATTAATTGAAAGATTTAGTTTAATTATTATAATTGTATTTTTTCCACTGATATAAACATTTGCGACCCAATTTAATGCTGTCATAACTTTTATTTGCTAGCATTTTTTGTAAGCCTATTCATTATTTCACCCAAAAAAAATTGTCATAGAAACTAAACTATTGTTACATGAACTTTGAAATATTTGGTATGAAAAATTGATTAATAAGATGAGTATTAAATTAATACCACGAAAGTATCAAAATTAAACCTACGTGATTTAAAAAAAGGCCTTAGACTTTAGTTGAAGACCCTTCGGTATAGAAATATCATAAAAATGTAGGGTTTAAATTATTTAATATTGAATTAATACCTGTCTGTAGTTTAAATTGAACTTTTTTTGTTTGGCTCATATATTTTATACCAAAACTAAAGCACAAATCTATGGTACAATTTTTCGGTTTTCATTATCTTTTGTGTACTAAACAAATAATTGAGAAAGGTCTACCGTTTTTTTTTTATTATTTATATTCTCTAACAACCAATTACCTATTATTACCTATAAATTCCAACTTATCAGTTTAGTGAAAACTCATTCTGAATTTTGTGTTTGTTTCACCAAAAAGCAGCAAGTTTTTACTAAACACAGACTAATACTTAAAATAATGAAATTGAGTTGAAGGCATAACACAATTATTTTATACATACGGAATTCCTTTTCTGATGGTACAAAATAATAACTCATTTGTTTTTCTTACGTTTTGAAGAGTAAATTGTATATATATGTATATATTTATTTATATTTCTTAAGGCAACGACTTGATGTTCCGTCTGTTGGAAATAACCATGAGATACTGTGGACTATCTCGGGGCAAAGAACAACGCAGTATTTTGTAGTTAAAGGTTCTTAAGAACAAGGGATAGAGAGATTAAACAATTGATGGAAAGCTCGCTGTAATCTCAATATATTATGTAGATGATGTTTCAGAACAGATCATGTTATGCATACTGTTAAAGGCATTTTTTAATAACTTTAAAGAATTTTCTTAAATACTAATATAACAATAAACTATTTAAAGCTAGCGCTGTAAACTTTATTATCTAAAGATTAAATAGAATATTAAAGTTAATAAATATACTGCCCAATGTGTATGGCAAAGAATAGTAGTTACCTGTGTTTTATGATAATGTTGGTCCCTCGGCTCTAAAATTTCCCATTCAATTGGTACATTTGATGGACTGTTTTTTTTGTTTTTAATAGTCTGCAGCCTGCAACTATCGTCGGCATTTGAGCGGTGGCCATAATTATCGCACTTGCTGCCACTTTTAATAACGCCGGTGATGATGGGTTTCGTTGGGCGAATGGGGTTCACTGAACGCCTGTGTGGCCTTGACTCACAAAGCCACAATGGCGCGGAGACCGCAAAAAGTGCATTCATTGACTGTAGATGCTACGATGCTCATTGCTCAACAGCCGTTTAAGGCTATCTCAGCGATGGCAAAGGTACTTATTTCTATTTAGATAATAAAGAACTGTTCAGATGATTTAAAAGTAAACTATTAGAAAAAGATATATAAGCTTTCTTGTTTTCTAAAATTCGTTCGATATTATTATTTTTATTTTGACATTTATTTAAGCCGTTTCTATATTATTAAAAAACATTGAAATAATAAATAAAAATAAATTATTTTAATTTAAAAAAAAAAAGAGATTAAAAAAGTTTTGAGCTCAGTACAAGCTCGAGGTTTTATAGATACTGAACTCCCTAAAAAAAATAGCCACAAATTTTTACCAATGAATTAGTATACTTTATGATATACATTTGGTATATTTTTAAAAAACATTATTCTTTTTTATGCAATGAAATGTAACACCAAATTGGGGGTGATATGTAAAAAAAATACGGATTGCGGTAAAGAGTTTGAATTCGTAATCATTTTCATCACCATTTTCATCAATCATCTCCTAAGGAAAGTGTAATCATAACCTATTTTCTTAAATTAAACAAACTTTCCTCAAAAATATATATGTTTGGCATTTTTGTATTTTAAAATAGGGAATTTGTTTAAATTGTGTGTGGATTTTTTTTTTGACGCGGCTAAAGAAGCTTATATCCTGACATTATTTGCAAGACTTTCAATTAAAGAAAACATTTTTAGCATTGGACAAGAGCAGATATTACCAGGCTGTAATGTAAGTTGCTGGTCTAAAACATGGTAAGTTGAAGGTTGATAAAAGTATATTGTACCCAGGTACACCTGATGTACTCAGATACAACTGCCCAGATGCGGCACATAACTGGCCGTAATGAGATACCGATTAAAATCAGCATGGCAGTCAGTAGTCACCCGATCGCAGCACCCGACCCTCCTGTCTGTAATCAAGCAATAATATTTAGTTATTTGGTAATTCAATGCAAAATAACTGGTAAGTGGGCACGTTGCTCCGTGGCTCGGAACGCTTTTGTTGCTGATTAATTTCCAATTGTTATTATGTTCGAACACCCTTCTCCGGCCTCACCAACTTGCAGGCCCGATGCTAATGGCAACCTCTCTGCAATCGCAGTTTTGTTCAGCATAATTGCTGGAAACTAAATGGAAACCAAATGGAAACCCAATGGAAACCCTAGATCGCAAGACAATGAAATTGCAAACTTCATCGGCGACAACTGTCGTGTTGGCAGATAAATCAGTCGCTTTGTCCAACAGTCAATGATATTGATCTATGATTTTGTGGAATAGCCAAAGTCCCTTTCACTTGAAACTCTAGCTCTATCCGTTTCATGCCAAATGCCGTCTGACATACTAAATTATTCGAAACCTGTTTGCATTTGCGGAAGAATCTCAAAAATGGCATGCATCTGGCAATCGATTATCTCGAATTTATTCAAAGTGAACTATGTAGGATGGCATCGCCCCATGGCGTCATTTATCTTAAAAAAACCATCTTCCTCGTGATATATAAATGACGCCTTTGCGCTTACTATAATTTTCACCCAATCGGTTGGCAATATAAACAAATACTATTTCTACACTTTCTCCTCATCACTCTCAGTGTCGTTGCCCAATTGATTAATTGTGCTGTCGCTAATTAGCCGAAACCATTGGCGTTTTGCATATAAATTTGAAAGGTAATTATTGCCCACCGAACATTATGCCAAAACAAACAACGAAGCAACCTTTACGTCAAGCGAAAGATAAACATGATTTCTCAGTGGTGGACATGATAAAAAAAAATCGAAGAAAACAAGTAAGCCCGAAAAAGGTACGTGAACTTTAAAATACCCTTTTAGTCTTATTAATGTGCTTGACAAGCTTTTCAGTCACATTAATGTGCTTGAAATAATTAGTTTTTATTGAAGTTTTTAGTCCAATACAATATAAATTAGGAATATATGTAGTATTTCTTTGATTTCAACAATTAAATTTGGTTTAGCAATTTTAAATTCTTG